CCTTCTCCCCCCCCCCCCCCCACACACACACACACCCCCTCAGCTTTAAATAAAAGCTCATTAATTGTAAAGATATTTGACATGGCAGTAAACGGACTGCAACTGCTAATCCAACTTTCTGCCCACTGTTCAGAGCTGGACTACAATGGCAGCAAAATGTGAGGTCCTTTAGAGCAGCAGTTCTCAACCTTTTTTGTACCAGGGCCCATTTGTAAACATTGGCCAGTCCCAACCTAGTGCCCCTCACTCCAGACCCACTGCCTCCCCAGCCCCCCAGTGTGTGCAGCAGGGAGTAGGTGTTGTGGGGTAGAGAAGGCCCCAAGCTGCCCCTTTCAGGCTGGAACTCTGCCAGCCAACAGGGAAAAACCCATGGTTTCCGTCGTTTTTTAAAGTTTGTTCCTGACACTTTCATAAATTCTTGCAACTCACTTTTTTTGTGTCGCGACCCATGGGTTGAGAAATGCTGCTGTAGAGTAGGTCTAACTTCCTTCTCTTCCTGGCAGTATGCAGCCCTGCAGGCCCATGTTGCTACCCTGAAGGCTCAATATGAAGAGCGCATCCAGAAGCTTGAGAGAGGTCAAGACAGGCCTCAGCCTGCAGACTTCATAGAAGAAGTGAGTTAGACCAGCCAGTGTTACTTCTTCAGAAACGATCTCTATTCTCTGTGGGTGGAGGGTTATCCACTGAAAATCTTGTAGTGTCTTGTTCTACCTGGGAGTGGGAAATCTACCAAAAGGAAGGACTAGATCTTGTGGAATATTGCTTATCTTCCCTTCTTTATAGGACTTTTGGTATGAAGCTTTACTCTCTCAATACTAGATTAAAACTTAAATAAGAGGGAGAATCCTGGCTTTGGAATTATATCCCCCTTTCCTCTTGAACCATTATACATGCTGAAATTCTTGAGGTGTTTCAGACACAGTTCTTTGGGTAAATCTGATATCTTTTACTAGACCAACACAGATAGTTGGAAAAAAATTTCTTAGCAAGCTTTCAGGTTTAAAACCTCTTCGTCAGGCTGAGGAAATATCTGCAGTTGGTGTGTGCTCTTTTTGAATGGAATGAATAGTAAAAAAAGCCAGAGGCTGGTATGCATGCTTGGTATGCCACATCCTACACCCCCAAGTCATTTCATATGTTTAAACAATTTCCAGACCTGCAGTACTTGATATGAAAGGTGCATTCTCTTAAAACAAAATTGGATTTATTCTTCTTGCTTAAGGAGAAGCCTGTGGTCCTGAGTTTTGTCCTGTGTTAGAAATGGTACTGATTTTCCACTTTCTTCCTCAGGTAAAGAAGATCATGAATGGGGTATTTCAGTCTCTGCGAGGTGAATTTGAGCTGGAGGAGTCCTACAGTGGTAGAATTGTTTTGGGTGTTGTCATGAACACCATTAAGGTACAGCAGATATGAATTATGAACTGTTAAAGCAAGAGTGAGGCTGTGGTCAAAATAGCTCCAGTCTTTTTAGCCTAGGTCCATAAGTGTGAAGCGTAGTCACTTTCTAGGATAGAAGGGGACATTACAATTATGGCAGGAGATGCAGCAGAAGGACAGGGAAATACATAGGCCCCTTGCTGGGGAAAGTAGGACAAGGCTCTTGATAGAACCTCATTGAGCTTTGAAAGGATAGTAGATTGGAGGTGGGTTAAAAAGCACAGAGGATTGAAATCTGTCTAAGAAAGATAGAGCACAAGCCATGTAAAAAGTACCAAGTGATAGAGCAAGCCATCATGTGAGGAGTGGAGTCCATATGAAAATGTGTTTTGGAGGTGGGGCACCCAGCTTGTGGGACTGAGTTGCTGTCCTACTTTTTGCTGATTACCATAAAATAAAAGCAGCACATTCTGAATTCCTTCCCCAAAACCCATTGTCCTAGCATACCTGCTTTTCCCTCTTGGATCTGCTGGGGATGACTTTTTTTTTTTTTAAGTCACTTTCAAGTCTCCTCAGACAAGGGTTGCATATTATTAGTCTCAAGTTCTTGGCAACTGTTTTGTTGGAGAGTGACAACTCCAACAATTAAAGACTGAAATAGTTTCCACTATATGTTAGTTCTTGCCCCTGTTCAGATTCCATGTGAGTTGCTGCTGCTGTTACACCTCAACCTAGATTTGGGATTATTGAAAAGGGAATTGGACAAAGACTTGCTGAGTTGTGACCCCTTTCAAAAAATAAAGGGGGGGGGGTTGGAATTGCAGAAGCTGAAGGAGCTTAGAGGGCTGCTTAAACATGGCATTTGACCCTATGGGAGTTTACCTCAGTCCTAAATAAGGTAGCAGCTGTGAGATGAAAAGTAACCTTTCTTCAGTGAGATAATTTGACAGATGCACATCTGCCTGACTTGCTTTTGACAGCCTGTCTAGGCAGAGGGGAAGGTCAGGTATCTCCCACTTTCCTGAAGTGCACGCTGGTTTAGTTAGAAGTACAGATGGTTAAGGGGAGTGAGTGCCTTTGCTCCTCCAGCCTGTGGTATGTAATGGGAGATGGTATTGTCTGGTAGCTGAATGGGGAAATGAGAAACTGGACAAGACAGTTACACTAGGGTAATTAATATTACCCTTACACTGACAAAAATGATATTGGCATCCCAACAGTTGAATCGTTCTTCAGGAGCACCTCCTTACAGTAGCTGCTATTACAGCAACACATCACTAGATGGCAGGGGAGCACATACTAGCTTCTGCCTACAGCACATGGCTACCCTGGGATGAAAGCGCACACCCCTAATTAGGCTGGTATATCTTTACTACAGATTGTTCCTGTGGTAAGTTTACCCAGGGTTTGAGGCACCTAAGTGTTTGTGTGGCTTGCTCCTTGTTTGTTACAGTGTAAATATATGTCCAAGCCCTGAGTTTAATTTTACTTCACCCAGGTCATACTTGCTAAGTCACAACTGTCTAGGTTCCATATTTCCACCTAAAACCATAGCCTTGTAGGGGTGCTCCAAGTCAGGCAGGATAAAATCCATGCTCTATTGCAGAAGGCAGCTGTCTAACTCAGCTGCTAAAAGTAGTGATATTACTATGCTGGACTCATCAGAGATGATAGGAAAGTCCCAGTTAGTGCACCTGGCTGGATGATCCTCATCCGTATCGCAAAGCATCAAAAAATTTACCTTTCTTCAATTAAATGGCAGCTGTTATATTTGTGCACAATAATTTATTTCTAGTAATGATACTTCTTTGCTGGCTTCATTTGATTCTCCAGACTGTAACTCTCCAGCTGCTCAACAGACAACAAGAGAGGCGAGAAAGCAACAGTGAAGAGGAGGAACCGAGAACAGAAGAGAGGAAGCTGGAAAGTCCACTAAAAGCAAAAGAAGACCAGGAAGGCCCTGTCCGGCATGATCTAGCACAGAGCAGAATAGGCATAACTGAGGTGAGGGAAGCAGCAGTGCACAGTGTGATGTCTGACCACCCACATGAATCAGCTGGTCTTGCTGCCTCTCCCAGATCTCCCAAAGGAGGGCACAGGACCCAGAGTGGTGCAGCATCAGAAGAGAAGATCCTAGAGGCACATAAAGAGCAAACCTCCTCTAGATCAGTTCAGGCACCTAATCCTAACCAAGTGCTGCCAGTTCCCAGACAGCCTGCAAATGGGGATACTGTGAACTCTGTATCAGATGAGCAAAGGCAGGCAGGTGCTCCCACTGGGGTAACCCCCCAAGGCAGTCCCACAAGAGGAGCATCTGCTCAGGTAGAAATTCCAGATCTCCCTGTTATAGAAACTAAGCCAAAAACAGTGGAAATGGCTAAGTGTTTGAAAATACCAAGTACAGAGCATAGTGGAGAGGAGCCTATAAGCATGCGGGAGCCCTCTCCTCTAAAAAGTGAAGAGGAAGGGAGTTGTCTCAGAACTCCAAATGAAGCCAGCTCTGAAAAGGATTCCAGTGTTTCTGACTTAATGCCCAATACAGCAGAGAAGGGTCCAGCCAAGACTGACCAGGAAACTACAGAATCTCAAGAGCAGGGATCTAGCCCCAAGCAAAAGGATTCCAGGTAGGTTGTGGTAACTTTTTTGGTTTCTTGCTCATGCACAGCAGATGTAAATGGGTGGGTTAATGGATCAACTGGCTGGTGGCTTGTGCAGCTGCCCCAGAAGTAAGGGTATAGTGCTATAGAAAGTGGCCAGCCATCTAAGTATTGCTTGACCTTACACGTCTAGACAACAGATGCTAAAATGCTGCCAGTGTCCAGCCTTGTCTGGAATTTACTGTCACCACCACTAATGAACAAACTGAAAAAAGGTGGTGACTTAAATTCTAGTGCATCTCTGCAACCAGTATGACCAGGGTCCTTTGTGAATGACTTCTAAACTGCTTCTAGCTGAATCAGTAGTTTACTTTGCCAACTTGGGAATAGTTAGTGGTTATAAAGTTCTCCGATATCTTTGTGGCTGCCTAGGTACCCTTTTACATTACTGCCATAGCCTCAATTAGTTTTCAGACATCAGTGGCCATGCAAACTTGAGCTGAGGTTGCCTGAGTGTTGGGTCTGGAAGTTATTCTCAAGTGCAGACAAATCAATCTTGGCTTTCTGTTCCACCCTGAGAATTAGCTGCTTCTAATCCCTTAACCTCTTGTAGCTTCTTTGAGGACAACAATGACTTGTTTAAAGCTGCAACCAATAAATCAGTAAAGCCTGGAGCTCCACCTGAAGAGGAAGATGAGGAAGAAGTGGTAAGAATTTAAGTTTGTTTCCTGTAACCATTGAAATGATTGAAACCATTCATCTTGTTCTTGGAAGAAGTTTCAAGGCATGAGGGATTCATTTCTCTCTTCTTTTTTTCATTTTTTTTTTTTTTATAGTTCAGAGTTTTGCTTTTGATGCACTTTGCATTTGTTAATCCAAATTAACTGTATTGAGACCAGAGTTTGGGACTCAACTGGGAACTGTCCACACTTGAACCTGTGGACAGGTGTGTAAAGGATTAGCTTCATAGGCAAAAGTAGCAACCCACAGCCTCCTGTTTGCTGGCTTGTCACCAAGAAAGTATTAAGATCACCAAGTTCAAAACTCTGGTGCTGTAACTGAGTCTATTGAGGGGGTTCTACTACAAGGGAGATTTAGGAGATGTTAAGGTCCCCTAGCTTTCTACTGGGATTTCAGACCCTCCCCATCTGATCTAATGTCTCTGATCCAGCATGCCATGTAGAGGAAGACAGTCAGTTATGATGTTTCTTGGTGCTGCCTCCCAAAGTGTCTACAGTGACTCCTTTACACAGAGCCTTCTGGAAACTAGACCCTTTTGGGAACTGCTGAAAACAAATAACCTAACACTGCTTTCTGGTTGCTCTTCCAGAGCTTGAAAGGGCGCCCTCCCCCAACCCCACTCTTTGGGGATGATGATGACGACGATGATGACCTGGACTGGTTAGGTTGAAAAGCTGGAAGATTTGGGAGTAGTCTGTGAACCTCCTTTTGGCATATGGCCTCTTCTTGAGCTTGTTGCACTTACCAACTGCGTATGCTTGAGATGGGGAATAGATCAGATAAACTCTGTGTTGCAGACAGGATAAGCAAATGACTGTATTAGCACTGCTGGTCATGTGGACCTGATCTCTGGCCTGATGAGCTCATCCATAGGCCAAGGCTAACTGAAAGAGCCAACCAGTCTTACTGCATGTTCATATTGCTGTCCTATTGGTGTGAACCATTGATCTGTTTGTTGTAACCTTTTTATACACAAGTATGAACTTTTGTAAACAGGTTCAAAGAAGAAAGTCTGCAGATAGTGTTAAGAATAGGACAGAAAAGTCTCTGCTTCTCTCCCCAAATTGATATTAAACCTACAAATATTCCAAAGAGATCTATGGGCTGTCAGCCTAAATCCTTGATCACAGGCACTTTCCACTGGGTCTTCACGAACATGCTCACCAAACAGTTAGATGCCAATTCAAAACACATGAAATAAAATATACTGATTCTGTAACCTGACTGCAAGCTACAGCTACCATGCATATGCCTTTCTGAAAACAGCAAGGAGTCAGAGGAATGCAAGCTTTAACTCTTGAACATTCAGAACGGTAGAACACAAACAGGTGCTACTGAGCACAGGCTGTGTGCTGTTACAGCTCCATTTAGCTTTAAAAGGCTGTGGTCTGAGTACTCTAAAGTAGTGCTCTAGAACATGGATGTAACTTCTAGTAAATGTTTTATCAAAGGCTCCTCTGATGTGCTTACCTTTTTAAGTTGAATCCTCTGCAGCTCCCCTACTAAAATAAGTGACAAGTGAAAGATTATGGTATGTCTCTGTGTGGCCAGAGTGGTATGAACTGAGTAATCCCCAGTTCCCCACATAGTGGGGCAGCATGCTGGCTAACAGAAGGCAAAGCCTGAGATGGAGATCATCTTTCTATGGGTATCATCCCATTAGGCTTGGGCAGCATCCTTAATCTATTCCCATCCCCAAGCAAAAGACCTGGCAGAAGAAAAGCCTTCTGTTTACCAAAACCAGGCCTCTGTTTTCCCAGTTCTGTGAAGTATTAACTTAATTTTGTGGCCAGTGTTGACTGTTAACCTCTTGCATGTTGTGGTTTGCTAGTGGTGTGGCTGGATCTGTTGAGGCACACTTTTGCCACAATTACCCCTTTTATCCTCATTGCAAAATGGCACTAGGAAGCCCTTGAGCCACACAGCCCCTTGCTGTTGGCCCCTCCTCACAACCTCACCAAAGGTAACTGTCACCACTCTGAACAGAGGAGTGTTAGCAAGATTTCTCTGTTCACATGTGTGGGTCCTGCCTATGATGCTGGTGAACCCAAGGAGTCTGTTCTTTTGCTGGATTGCACTGGGAATTCAGCAGCAGCAGTAAAGCCACCATAATGTTAATGGACTCCCTGTCTAGACAGGAGGAGGGAGTTTCCTGCGGGCAGTCAGTTGCCAGTCTCCTGTGCCTTTTTCTCTGCTGCTACAGGTGGCAGGATTGTAGCATAAATTAAGTGTTTATTGGTTAGGATATATTGGTGTGTAATTTAACCTGGTTCACTCCAGATAGCTTGGGTTATTGGAGCAGACTTTTTAAATCTAATTGAAACACAAAGAATGAAAAATGACTCGTCTTTTTACTCAGCTGGGAAATTTTCAATCTTGTTCTGTTTCTACATGCTTTCACTTCCAGGTTCTTCTGCACTAACCCCCTCCTTTAGTATTTTGAGTTCCAAATACGGTAGGGGAGAGGACAAATGCTTATAAAAACACGTTTTCTCTTAAATTTTACAAATGGAATAGAAACTTTTTTTACACTGGTATTAGGTTCTGTGATCACTTGATATTTTTTCCCACAACTTCTTTGAGTCAGTTTGACCTGGAAGCATCCCAAGAAACACACTTTTTGTAAAATGCAGGTAATCTGTGTAGTTCAAAATGTGATTGATAGCAATGTGATAAATTCTCATTGCTCTATTGAAAGAAATGTGACTAGTAGCCAAACTTTTCTGAAATTGTAGGACTGGCTGGTTTACAAACTTTAATGTACTAAAGTATAAATGTTTAGCACATAACTCAAGGTTAATGCCTTGCTCTCAGCAAGAAAGTCCAATGTTGATGTACAGAAGAAATATTTAGAGCCAGATCATAATTTAGGGCTTTCCTTGTATGGCCATCACTGTGATGGCCTAAATGCATCTAAGTGTGGTCTTAGTCAGGTGTCTGTAGAAATGCTCCCACTGTGGAAGCAGTACTAACTAACACATGCCATGTCTTTGATAAACCCTGAAGATTTGCATTGCATTTCTTGGAAAAATAAAGTGCAATTAAACAATTATGTTTCCCAATCTCAGTGGCTCCACTTTGACTTGTTGCTGATGTATGTAGATGCTGGTAAATATAATTGCTTAGTCATGAATCAAACCAACTTCACTCATTCTTTTTATATATATCTTCTTGGAGAAATGGGCTCCTTTTCAGGAAGCTGCTACAAAACTGGAACCTACCCAGTTGTATCCAGAGTAGAGAAGCGACACAATTGCTGTAATAGTTTATGGAAACTCTGCTGAGCTTAACAGTACTGTTTCTTGTCTTAACAGGCTGAGTTCTAGAAGTTAAGGCATGTGACACCTTCCTGCCTCCAGCTCCCCAGCCCCATTCACAGAATACAAGAAGAGCTGGTGCTATAACTATTCCCTAGTCACCCTTTGCTCATTCCCAGTTAGACCAGAATGTAAATTAATATCATCATGGAAAATCCACTGAGCCCTCCACTCCTGCTATATCCACATTGGGTTAGTGAATTTAGTCAATGGAAAGGGTTTTTAAAAGACAAGCCGTTTTAAAAATAATAATAATAATAATAATAATAATAATAAAATTATCTTCAAGGCTGCTCTTTTTTTTTCTTTTTCTTTTGCCTAGCAGTTACAAAAGGAATAGACCTCTCCCATAGGGTGTGACCCTAGACATCCTGACACAAGTGAGTGGAGTGCCCCTGTGGGTCCAAGGCATTAAACCTAAGGCCCTCCCCACCAGCCTATAACTGACCCTCCAGCCGCCTTTGGAAGCAAGGTGTCTCCATCCTGGGGAAAAGGATGCCTCCTTCTAGTTGCACTACCTGAACTTGATTAAAATCCTTCTGAAGAACAGTTTGACTTATGACTGTAAAAAGTGTTCAAGTTGGCTGTCTGGATGCAAAATCCTGGTGGAGGCAAGATAGGTGGGCTTTTAACTCCCTGTAGCTAGTTGAGGCCAATCTTGGGGAGGAGGGCTTCAGAGTTTCACATTTCAGTAGTAAAGACTCCAACTGAACTATCGATTTAGGAATCGAGGTCTTAAGAGTCCATTTCTGGCTGTAATAATCTGAGATTAGTTCAGTTGCTGTGCCTTTTCAGTCTTATTTGTGAGACTTGCATGGGTGTAACTAAGGCGATTGACAGTATATCTGATTGATTGCCCCAGTACAAACTTGAGTGTGGAGGCTTCATAATTCACTTAAGATGAGCAATTTAGCATGTGAAGCTAAACTGTATTTTAAGCTAAGTAAGTACATCTCTATTGTGGGTTTGTACTTGACTTGAAATCAATAGTTCATATTTGTGGCAAAAATTTTACATCACTAACAGATGCATCTTTTTTTCCCTTTCTGTACCATAAGAGAAATGAAAAGAGCTTGGAGGCTGCTGTATGAAAAGTACTGAACAGCTGTTTGAGGAAAAGGACTGGATCTCTTTTTCATTTTGCAGAAAACTTAAAGCAAAAAGTCAGTATGAAACTGCTAAATTAAAAGTTTTTTAGGATTTGAATTGGAATTGGACAGTTCTAGTAGAGGGTGTCATTTGATTGATCAAGTTAAACTTTTGGGGGTTGTTTTTTTAATTATTCCCTTAATAATCTCTCAACAATAGACTGTAACCTTTTTCTTTTTTTTTTTTCACCCTACAGAAAATGTATTTTTATTTAAATAATTTTTCTGACTGGACCATTTTTTAATGTGGAAAAGCCTGGGATTAGTCTCCCAGACACTCACCTTTTTTCAAATCTGTGATTACAGTAGTCATCTTGGCCCAGAAACTTGGGCTAAGAGGTTATTCAGGCTTGGTTTATTTAGGTATGGTACCTTCAAGAGGGGGGAAACTAATTGTGTACATAAATCTGAGTTTCAGGTTCTTCTCTCCAGCAGGGTGGAAAGGTGAGCGTCTTCTGGAGAACAGTGAACTGTCCTGAAGCAGAGTCAACAGACTCTGAAGAATGAGGAGGACACCCACAGGGGTTACCTGTGCTCAGAGCTGTGACTGCTGCAGAGCCCTAGGTGCTACCTGTACATAGCCTAGTTCCAGCTACCACCTTTGGCTGAGCCACGTGGGTGGTAGCCTCTGGGCCTGAGGCTGCCAGGGAGGCTTTGCTGAAGTCAGAAGGACCATGTCCTGCAGTTGCCCAGAGTGAACTTCATCCACTACAGGCAGATACTGCATTACTGCCATCACTGGTCATGTTGCAAAGGGAGTACACTCAGAGCTGTGACAAAATACTGAGCCTTCCTTGCCTTAATCAGGTTCTTTCCATTCCTCCTGCCTTTTCCCTCTGCAGGGCTCAACTTTACTTGATCCTGTTTACCAGGAAGCTGAAATTTCCTTAGTTTTTCCTTTTCTTGGAGACCCCTGCCAACAGTGGGGGGGCTGCCTGCTAATGGAGGTGGAGCACACCTTCATTGTGGAACTGTTTCCCTTTCTAAAACAGGGGAAGCTTGTTTTGGGAGGTACAGTGAGTTCCCCCTGGCAGTGCAGCAGGTTCAAGCTGGTAGCTCTGTGCTGGCCTGGGTTTCCCTAGCTCCCAGAGCCGAGTTCCTGCAGAAGGTAGTAGGAAGACCTTGGTCATTACAAGCCCTACATCACAGCAGCTGCAGAAGGGGTCTCTACTCTAGTCCTGTCTCTAGGAGCCATATTTGTCTTGGATGGTACTGTGGCAGTCGGGTTGCTTGCCACCCAGTCGGATCCATCCACCACCAGGCAGGTTTGTTAGAGCCAGATGAAGGTTGTACTGGGGAGGTAGTACATCCCCGCTTTGCTGTAAGTGTACCAATAGCGCTATACCGGTAGAGCTCACTTAATACAACAGTAGGCTTATTTGTAGCATAACCTATCTATTTGGAAACATGGATGAAGCTGCAGGTATGGCATGCAGATAGGGTTTAAGGCTCACCTGGGACAATAATGGCTGTCTGTGTGAGACCAGCCGCGTGGGGGCTTGCACAGCCCTTGGGGACAGAAGTGGGATCTAGGCCCTGCGTGCTACTTGAGACAGACCCTCCTCCCCCCTCGGGCAACTATGTGAGCTCCATCAATCTGTGAGCAAGCCAGCTCCTTGCCCTGTGCCATGAATCTTTCCTAAGGCTTCACACTTGACTTTGGGAAATGTCTCACCAGAGGGCAGCAGTTTAAAAGCTAAATTATTTCTCTCTGTCATCTTCTCTTCCCCCCACTCCCCTCCGTCTGCTCACTCTCACTCTACAAGGATGCTCTTATGGGCTTTCCCTTCAATGCAACTTGAGTCCATTTTTCTGGGTCCTGAGGACCTAGGCTGTCCCTAGTAGGGGTTACAGCCATCTTTCCACCTAGTTTACAGCACAGACATCTCAGATTTCACCTGTGAAGGGCTTTGTGTGATGATCACAGGCTGCCCTGTAGCACCCGCCTAACTGGTGAGTGACACAAGGGAAGCAAACCATCCTTTGCTTTGTCTTTCACACAACCAGTGTTTTGGCTGTGCTGAGAGGTCCCTCACAAGGGGCCATTTGAGCTCCACCCCAGCCTTGCTTGCAGAGGCCTCCCTACCATTAGGGGGGGCTGGGCAAGGAGGTGAATGAGGGTGGGGGTGGTTCAGAGCTGCTGCTGTTGGCCTCACCGTTAGCATTTCTTCATCCATACCGGTGTTGCTTCATTTGACTTGCTCTCGGCTCTCTCACACACAACCTTTAGCCCAGCTGTGTGAGAAGTCCCCCTTCGAGAAGGGCTCTGCTGGGAGAGCCGGCACCTCCACCAGAGCGGTGGGTGGGGGCTGACGAGCACAGCACACTCCCCTCCAACACTGATTGAACTTCAGGGACTAAAAATCAAAACAGTTCAAGATTTGAAAGGCTGAGAAGCTCCCAGCCACCCTCCCCTGGCGAGCTTGGTTTTCACTTCATGCCTGAGATGATGTTTTAAGTTCCCAACTACCTGTCAACATTTTCTCTCCAACTACTTGGTGCTGACATTTCTGAGGAGGAAAAATAGCAGAATTAACCAAAACCAGAAGCCCTGTCCTTTGAGCCCCTATGTATCTATCAGCTGGGGGGGAGGATGCAAGGCAGTTTTCCCCACAGTTATTTTCAAATGGGACTAATAATGACACCAGCTCTATTAATAGAAGCTGGTGTCTCAGCTGAGCTGCTCTTGTTCGCACAAACCTGGCCCTCAGCCCATCAAAACGTTGAACAAACCCATCTAATGTGAACGAGGGCATGAGTTCCTGTTAATCTGATCCAATTTCTTGACCGCCTAATGGGAGGGGGGCATCAGGCATTTTTAAGGTATTTAGGCTATCAGTGGGTTTTCCAAAGACCCTTTCATTTCACTCAAGATTTTTTTTTTTTACCTTAGGGTTCATTGATTGTGCATTGCCTGAAGCTAGTTAACATGCTTGTAAAGAAAGGTGTGGACTCTATAGCTAGACTTAGAGGAAGCCTCCACAAATATGTTACTTTGTTTAAATTAACAGCTAATCAGAGAACTGCAGGTAACAAATCTCAATCCTAGACATTTGCTGTGACTTCAGCCCATTACAGCTCTGCTGCCCTTCCTTGTACATGCTGTTCCCATCAGAAGCCTTCATGGCACTCTCATCCCTTTGTGGCCCTTGCTGCTTTTTCCTGTTTTCTCACTCTCCAGGAGATAGGCTGGGTACTCTCACCTCAAGGACCCTGAGATCCCACCCTGACTCCTGTTGGCTGTGCTTGCCCCTGAGAGCGCCCATTCCACACTCGTGGGATGCTGCCGGGGCTGCCCTCAATGCACGCATGCATGCATGCGCACGTGCGCGCGCGCGCACACACACACACACACACACATGCGCGCCCAGTGGAAGGATGGTGCTGTGGCTCAAGCTGAAGAAGGCAACACTACTGTCACCCCTTAATGCTGGGACCTGGACTAGACAGGGGAACTCTAGAGCTCAGCCCCCCTCCCCCTACCGAAATGCCTGCAAATAGCTAACAAGTGAATACAGCTTAAAAGTGCTGGGCCAGGCACTGCAATGGGACTCGGCCCCATGGCGATGACATGGTAGCTGCTGCCTTCCTTCTTGAGGAGGAACTGCCAACAGTGCAGCCTCTGACTTACAAGGACTTGCACTGAGTTGGGACCCAGGGTGATGCGAAGCAACGTCATTATCCTAGTTTTATAGCAGGGGAAACTGAGGCACAGAGAACAGAGTGATTCACCCAAGAACTTTCAGGAGCTTAGGGCAGAGCTGGGACCAAGACCCAGCTGGATGGAGGGTCAGCTACCTGTAGGAGACAGCTGAGGAAAGCTACTTTCAAGCCTCCAGAGCTGCATTCTCGCAGCCTGATGTGCTGCTTTTAAGTTCCAGCTCCTGGGGATGTGGAGTTAAGCAAGACTCTTGGCTTTCAGTTGCAAAGAAAGGTTTTAGTCCTTGTACTTGCCTGAAAAGCCAACCCAAGCACGGCATAAAGGCACAGAAACCAGACAGCAAAGAAAAAACAATATATGGTTTATTATTTTTTTTAAAGCTTGTGCTTTGGGAGGCCCAAACCTTGGTGTATGGACCTGTGTAGCTGGCAATACTG